AGGCTTATGTGCGATGAAGATGAGGGACACTGGATTGTGCCCTTAGAGAAAATGAGATCTCCTGCTGTTCTAACTGATTTCACTGTACTGGCTAGGACAGCAGTGTTTAGAATATGAGCTTAGTCTGTTGCTCTGAATCCAACAATCAATTCCTCTCAAGGAATTCTTTAGATTTGCCCTCACTTGAATTTATTTATTTTTTTCCATATTCCAATATAATCTCCTACCTCTGCTCCTGCCTCCATTCCTTCCCTTTAGGTCTTCCCACCCACTCTTCATATCAGTCTGTATTTAAACAGCAAATATTCCATGTTTATAAGTAAAATCATCAAGTAAAACCTGAATAAATTGATTCTTACAGAGAATAAATACAAAATATAAATAAAAATGACCTTTTTGTTTATTATTATTAACCATTTTATATTTGTACTGCCCAATAGCCAAACCTAAAAAGGTTCACGTATTCAAACAAAAATGGAAGAGAATGAGAAGGCAAACTCATATTAAATAAAAGTTTGTTGATGCTACAGTAAATTAGCAGCTGGTGAGGTGGGTGATCATGAGCAAATACCATTCTCATTTTATTCTTTGCTGCTACTATTTGTTTAATGCTAGTCTATTTTTCTGTGTTTAGTGATATTATTATGATTGGACTATATTAGATTTTCTTTTCTTTTATTGTAATCCACCTTGGGGTACTTGTAGTCAAAAGAAGGAATATAAAACCGTTACAACCATCCAGCTCAACAGTCTCTCTATATAGGCTAAAAATATAATTAGGACAGTGCAGAATTCCATCCTAAAATGAAATTTATTTATTTAGTCATTTATACACCACATTTGGGGCCTCAAAAAGACCCCCAGTGTTATAACACCAAAATGGTTTAGTGGTTTAATCCTCACATAGGATTAAGCAAATAGCTCTAAAATGTGCTTTTTTGTATTCAAAGACTGAAGAGGCTTATGAGAAGGTCTGCAGTGTCCCCTTTTCTTCACAGAACACACAGTTGTGGCACCTCAGTTGTCCAACTCCCAAAGGAGGACTGGGGTCTTGGATCATTCATGGCTAGAGTATACTGATTTCTGGAATCCAGTTCATTCCAAGTCCTCAGATAGCATTCCATGCGATTATCCTATTAGTAATGTGTGAAGCATCTGTTTTGGGGGTGGGCAGCTGTGTTGCCCTGAAATAGGCTCAAACTTAGTTACTCATAAGAACCTATTTTAATTTTGGCATTCATCCTACTTTCAGCCACAAAGACCTTAAGGGGTTTTTTTTAACCACAGCCACGCTAACACTTTCCATTAATCCAATATACAATAATTAGCTATCATAATTTTTTTATTTTGCTTATTTAAAACTAGGTTTAGGCTGCCTTTAGGGGTAGAAACATGACATCAGGGCTCAATCCAGTCCCATGCAGGAGCAGAGGCAGTATGCACAGAGTCCTATTTTCCCCTTTACTGGCCACTGCACATATACATGGGCAGGTAAGGTCCTTGGCCTGGGAGATGCCTCCAATATTTCTGTCCAGCCCTCTCTGCTCTATCAACAAAGATGAACTTGGAACAAAGAAGAAGGGGGAGGGCTAGAAGGGTATACAGGAGGTACACCCTGGCCTCCCAGTCCTGGCTCATGTCCTGGCACAATACCTAGCCTTGTAAGCATATATGTATGCACCACAATGAGAGGAAGGGACCTGGACATCCAGGGAACTGAGTCAAGTCCAAATGAAGCAGCATGGAGTATGAGATATAAACATAGACATTGCTCCTCTAAAGCTGGGCAGAATTAAGTTGTGGTCTATGCATGCAGCAGAATTACATGGTAGAACTATCTATGTGATGTGCAGGTAGAAGATTAACTGTTTTGAATGATCTACCAAATTCTTTTAAATGAAGAAATAATTCCTGGAAATAGGAAAGCAGAAAAATTCTTGTCCAGTATTCTTCTTTCTTTCCATGTTTTTCACACCATAATTTTAAACCAGATTTTTAACACAGAGAAGCATTCAAAATGCAATTCCCCATTTGCAGGCTGAATTGGTGGAGTTTCTTCTGTCTCAACTATCATTCCACTATCACTTCAACCTTCTGCATGTGTAGATCAGGAAAAAGAAAATGTGGGTTGCATCTTAGAAATTCAGAAATCTTGTTTTTTTTTTTTTGCATCCTCCCTGCCTAATCTCTCTTTAAAAAAATACAAAACAAAACTGTGCTGGAGCTTCCCATACCATTCAAAAGCAAAGCTGTTCAACAAAATGAGGTGACTGGCTGTGCATTTTATCTTACTCTCTTGAATTTTTATCAATAAATGCGATTAAAAAGATCACAGAAACAATTGCAGGCTGTTACCAATAGCCTCAAGGTAGTCGCTTAGCAGAACATTTATTGAAAGGATTTAGAACAGTGAAATGCTCTTCTTACTCTAGGAAAAAAAAGAACAAAAAACAAGCCCCAACCTGATTTTATTCAGTGAGCTTCTCATTTACAGATATCCATCTCAAATTAAGTGTGTAAGTCTATGCAACCTCAAGCAAAAAATGTCCTGAATCTCCAAGTGTCTATCCTGTTCACCTTATGTAGAAAGCACAATATACCAGGAAATTCTCTTACAAAAGCTTCACTAATATGAAAGGAAGATGTGCAAAAGCCTCCTGGAAACAGCCTCTCTGGAGGCTGATTCACAATATCTGCTCAAGGGTGGCTTACACTGATGATCTGCATTCCAAACCCTTATTTGTGTTCCAGCCATGCAGATTATGGCTGGTGTTGTTTCTCTCTTTCCTGAGACAATTTCCAGCATTTCCTTAGGATTCCTGTATGCTGTCCCAAACAACATTCTCCAGATGAGTGTGGGACTAACTGCATTTTCTTGTGCTGTTGACAGTCTTTGTACTTCAGACCTGCATGGTATGTACTTCCAGACTAATGATCCCTAGAGCTACTCAACTTTTGGCTTCCTGAACAATTGCAGTTAACTTTCCAAAAAGGATGTGTAGTCCTTAGGTGGAAAAATAGACAATTCTGAGAAAAATATCATAAAAATTAATTTGCACTTTAAAAAACATTTATTTACAAAACCAAGAAACTGACATGAATTGAATCTTTTACCACCCAAAGTCTCAATTCCATATACTGGGGCCATTAGGTCAAAATCTGATAGGACTTTTAAAAGCTCAGTATTTTCCATTGGGCATGTTAACAGAGCACACTAAGCCATGCAGCGAATTAACCAGAATGTGTTAGTTTGCTGAACAATCTATAGTGTATCAGACAACTGGGCTTGCTGTGAGCTGCTTTCTTCCTCCTTCCCACTAAGTACTCCAGCAATACTCCAGTGACCTTCATGGCCAAACCTCTTGTGTCTCCCCCTTCCTGTGCCAATTGCTACCCCCCTTTTTTCCTTCCAAAGCCTATTTTATTTTAAGGATTGTGCACGTGTGTTTATATGCCTTCATTCCCTGTTCTTGTGCAAGTGAGCAAATGCACTCTTATGTATGAATAGTTTTGGCTGGTCAATTTTATTTTCTATTTCAGCTGTCAAGGGGAGTGGTAACTTGGAATAGGTAACAGATGGTCAAGATGAGACCATGCATAGGCTAATTTGCACAAAATTGTCAAGGACCAATTGCCAAATTGTCCATTGAAAAGCACTGTTAAATGAAGGAAAAAAGGTGGCATAAGAAGGCGCACCACAATGGTGGTTGAGACAAAATATGTCCCCTCAGTAACATAATTCTCACAATTTTAGTGCTGAATTGACAGTTTTCCGTACACTCCTCTTCAAAACTTTCTCAGTCTGCAGCTACTCCATAAAGGGGAGATACTAACTCTCCTTTTTTCATCACTCCTTTTAGAATCACTGCAAGGTTATTTCAATTCCCTGACATTTCTAACATTATGCAGAAATATATGCAAATTTAATTGGTGGTAAAGGGAAATTTGTGCCATTTTAAGGGCCATGAATAAACAGAGGGGACATTTGTGCATCTGCAGTAATGCAGCATTTCTGTATAAAGTTTTCAATAAAAATGTATGCAAGGAAAGATATACCCCATGTTGTTGGATGAAACTGAGATACTATTGCACAATAAATTTAATGGCTTTTAAAGTAGCTAATGAAGAGAAAGGGAAAGAGAGAAAGAAAAAGATTTTACCCTGACTAGGATTTTACCCTAGGATTAGGATGCTTTTTCTACACCATTTTATGGATGCACATCTACACTTCTGTGCATTGGTAAACACCCACAAAATATTTTTGATATAACTCTAAATATGTTTTATCACAATATTGCAACACTATCGCAGACAGTGGGTGGGGAAGATACAAATGAAAGGAAAGAAGTGAATGCAGCTGCAAGTTGCACATATGCACAGTGGCTATATCTGCAGAAAATGGCAAGCCAAATTGCTAAGAATTCTGGCTTTATTTATTACGTTTCTGTAGTGTCCACTATGCAAAGCTCTCTGGGTGACTTGCTCATAATGAGCAAGTTTTAAGGCCTGCTTCCTATACTACCACCAGAGCATGGGTGCCACTGCAACACAGTGTAATGTGAGAAGCCCTGGGAAGGAGCTGAAGCTCTCTCCCCAGTACCAGCATTAGCTTGGCTTCTGGAGGACTGAAGCTGGAGTTGGGGAGAAGCCTAACTTTAGGCTCTTCCCACATGCTCTAAGGCTTCTGGTGTCACTGTGACCCTGGTTAGGACAATACATGGAGGAAGTCATGGTTGACCTGGCAAGTCCATGGACAAAAGTCTCCCAGGGAAGGAATTGGGTCATACAAGGAGGATGAGCTAATAGTCTTATGGGTCAGAAAGGAAGGAAAAAAGAAGTGAATAGGAATAGGAGATCCTGGAATCAAGGCAACAAAGGCACTGGTTGAGAAACATTAACCGTCTTCCTTCTCAGGGATTTGTAGGATCTGTTAACAGCCTGATATCTACAAAACAGCTTATCCCGCTGCTCCGAGCATGAATACACTCACATAGTCTTACCTTTTTATGGCTTTGTAGCAAATGATGAAAACTAGAAAGAGGAACACTGGTGTGGTGCAGCATGCTGCAATAATTATAACCGGGCCTGGCCACCAGGGTTCTCCAGTTGGGCAAACAGGAGGGGTGGGAGCTGTAAAAGATAATGCAAAACAACAATACACACACTCAGTTGAGTCCTACAAAATAAAACATTTATGAACCAAGGAGTTCCATTCACCCAGCACTTAGTGCAGGAGGTGACCAAGGAATACCCAACAGCATGTTCTCCACTTCCCAAGCTAATATCTTAAGCTGTGCTTTCTCACCATGCAGCAGCAAATAGTTTCTTCTGCTGTACCAACTCATATGAAGTTGTCTTACCTTGGTCCATCTAACCCAGTGATCACTAAATGGATTATTGGCCAGGATCTTTTACAATGTCAACCTGGTGACTGAAACTGGGACTTCCTACAAATAAAGAGATCTTTCCCTAGCCCTGGGCGGAGTGGATCTTGAACCCAGGGTCTTTTGCATAAAAACAGATGCTCTGCCACTGAGCTACAGCCACATTCCTGAACTTCTTAGGCTGCTGATATGAGGAGGGAAGCAGAAATGAAAATGACTCAACATGGCTAGCAGCCACTGTTTCTTGGTGGCTGCCCATCAGATGCAGCATTTGTTTTACTGAGTTGACTGCATGCTGTTATGTCAGCCTTTGAAACTCAATTAGGGAAGGTTTATCTAGCACAAGTAGCAGAGCCTGTAATCACAGTTAGGGCTGCTATCGTAATAGCCTTGGGTGGAGAATAAGCAGTACATTTTTAAAAATGAAGACAAGAACAGTCCTCCCCCTTCACAGTTCCCCCTCCTTTTATTTCATAAGGTGAATCTATCCCTATTCCTAGTTCTGTGTATCTATATTGTAATGCATATCACAGGGAGTTTGAAAAGCAAATTTATAAAAGCAAGCTGTGTTGGTAACAATGGAAGGCTGGTTCCTTCTATCCTAACTGTGGAACTCAGGGTGGCATATCCTTGGCAGCCTACCACCTGGAAAGGGGTCAGAGAGAGGAAAAATGACTTAACCAAACCTCATCCATAGATCCTTCTGGAGGGGCTGACCTGAGGTCAGATCTGGAATATATCCCATGGCCAAAATTCAAAAGTCATTCTTTAATGCAGCTTTCCTCACCCTAGTACCCTCCAGGGATACAACTCCCATCAGCCCCAGCCAGAATTCCTCAGGTAGAGAAGCTGGTTTTAGTCATGTGATTTCTTCTTGTCCAGGGAAACATGACAACAATTATGGCAACACAGCTTGGAACAGTGTGATACTTTCCCCACAACTGCGACTAGCCCAACTTTGCTACTGAAGTGCGAGAAAACAATTATCTTTTGCCAAAATATAATGAAGTCTATACCATAAAAATGCAATATCTGCATGCTTTATCTAGCCAACCTGGGCTAAAGTACACATATTCATTTTCAATGTGGATTTAGGGTTCAATCCAGGAGATCTCAAATGATTGAGGGTTGCAGGAAAGGCAGTGGATCCCGATATGGCCATTCTGGGGAACCTCAGAAGGCTGGGGACTTTGGCCCTGCCTCTGAGGTGCTGTACTCCTAGTTTAAGGCAACTACGTCTTCAGTTTAAGTCACTGTATCTCAAGCTTGTATCATTCATCACATTTATATGCTCTTCTTTCTCAGTGGAGTGAACATGTACATTATGTCATAAAGCTGGCACAACTCTTAAAGGGATATTAACTAGCAGCCAAATCAATCAATGATCTTAGTTTGATCCTCCATCTCCATTGCCTGATGCTTTCTTGGCAAATTACCCAATACTTGCTAATTCATGCCTTCCCTAACTAAAACTGCAAGCATCACAGGATAGTAGGGGGAAAACTCTACATGGCATTGCTCTAAGACTGGGGAGGGGGGAAGTGCAACTCATTTATTTATTTATTTATTTATTTAAAACAATTTGTAAGCCGTCTATTACTATTGTCTCTGGATGGCTTACAACATTATTTCAATCTTCAATAAAATAAGTTAACTATTCCACACTGAGCATTATTTAAAATAAATTAAATACGTCTTGCACTATTAAAATTACTATATGTTAAAATACTGGCCAAAAAAAAAGGTCTTGACCTGGCACCAAAAAACATATAACGATGGTGCTAGGTGGACCTCTCTACAGAGCACACTCCATAGTCGGGGTGCCACCGCAGAGAAGGCCCTCCTTCGAGTACTCTGTCTCCTGACCTCTTTCAAAGAGGGTTCTCGGAGGAGAGCCTCTGCTGCCGATCTTAGGGGGCGGGAGGACATGTAGGGAAAAAGGCGTTCCTTTAGGTCCCAAGCCATTTAGGGCTTTATAGGTAATAACCAGCACCTTGAATTGAGCCCGGACTTCAATGGGAAGCCAGTGAAGCTGGTAGAGGACTGGGGTTATATGAGAATACTGCCCAGTCCTCGTCAGCAACCTGGCTACTCTATTTTGCACCATCTGAAGTATCTGGACTGTCTTCAAGGGCAGCCCCACGTAGAGCACATTACAATAATCCAAGCGGGAAGTAACCAATGTCTGTGTCACTGTTGCTAGGCAGTTCTCTTCCAGGTAAGTATGCAGCTGATGGATTAGGTGAAGCTGAAGGAAGGCACTCCTCACCACCACCATCACCTGGGCTTCCAAGGACAGCTCTGGGTCTAGGAGCACTCCTAAGCTGCGGACCCTGTCCTATAGAGGGAGTGCAACCCCGTCCAGGGCAGGGCCCAAGTCACTTACCCGGAAGCTCGAATCACCAACCAACAGGACCTCTGTCTTATCTGGATTGAGCTTCAGTTTTTTTGGCCCTCATTCAACCCATTACTTCGGTCAGGCACCGGTTCAGGACAGCCACTGCCTCATCTGGATTAGTTGAAAAAGAGAGGTAGAGCTGGGTGCCATCAGCATACTGATGACTCTGTAGCTGAACCCTCCTGATGACCTCTCCCAGTGGTTTCATGTAGATGTTAAATAGCAAGGGGGACAAAATGGAGCCCTGCGGTACTCCATGGCAGAGCTAAGTCCCCCAGCACCACCTTCTGGAATTGGCTGTCAAGGTAGGAGCAGAACCACTGCCAAGCAGTGCCTCCTATTCAGTCCTGCTAGCCTATCCAGAAGGATACCATGGTCGATGGTATCGAAAGCCACTGAGAGGTCCAGGAGAACCAACAGGGATGCATTTCCCCTGTCCCTCTTCCTACACAGGTCATCATACAGGGCAACCAAGGCAGATTCAGTCCCGTAACCAGGTCTGAAACGGGTCCAGATAATCAGTTTCATCCAAGAGTACTCGGAGTTGTCCCACCACCACCCATTACAACATCTTGCCCAAAAACGGGATGTTGGTCACCAGTCTGTAATTGGCGGCCATCTCTGGATCCAGAGACACCTTCTTTAGGTATCCTCCAGAGGTGGTCCTCCAGAGGACTTGTGGTCCTCCAGAGGTTTTGGCCTGCTCCCATGATGTCTCACCACTGACTAGGCTTCCTAGAAGTGAAAATACATAAGGCTGCCCCAGGGAACAAAACTGCAGGAAGGCTGGATGGTGCTTAGACTCTTAATACCATATTGCTAATGGTATAGTCCATACATCTTTAATTCCTTCATTCTGCTGAATATTAATGTTACATTTTTATGGTTCCAAGCCAAGCTTGAGTTCACTTGCAAGCCTGGCTTGGAACACCAGCTTGGTTATTTGGAGGCTTCTTGGCTTGGAAAAGGAATGGCAAAGTGGGATCTTGTGATCTGAAATTAATAAATGACTTGGATGAGGGCATGGAGAGGTTTGTGGAAGACACAAAGGTAGCACCACACAGGACAGAATTCTTTTATTCTTTTCTTCAAAGCAAACATACTTGTGCTTTCAACCATCCCTTACAGGGCATTTTTTCCAGATCCCTCACCAATCTGGTTAACTTACCCTAGCCTTGTACTCAGGTGGAAATCACCTGGAAATTTGCATGCATCAATTAGTTAAAAAAGGCTAAAATGGGGAAAAGGGATAATGTGTAGTAGGGGCCAGGTGAGAGGAGATGCCAGTTTCCCATATGTTAGATTTCTGAAAGAAAAAGAGTAGCATATTTCACATTACATCCTAAATGTTTCTTCTCTGAAGCAGATTTTGTTGAATTTAGTGGAGTAAAATTTCAGGTAAACATGCATGGGTTTACAGCCTTTATTGTTTTCAGTTTATAATGATTAAGTTATCAGTGATAAGGGAAATCCTTCCAAGAACCAAATCAGTTCAGTAATGGGAATGAGGGGGGAAGAGACTTTCCTCTGTTCCTGCTATGCCAAACCAAGTCATGCAACTAGTTTTACACATCCAGGAAGGGCTTTGGCTTATGTTTTTCCAAACAGCACCACCCCATTACTTGGGAAAACAATTCTGAAACTGGGTGGGAAGGACAGAGCTCTGCTGTCCAAAGTCAAAAACCTGGCATATACTACCTTTCTTGTAATACGGGAAGAAGTTAAAAGAAATACCATACTTCTTGATGACTCTGTATTTCAAGTGTTTGGAAATACAAAGCATGGAGTGGAGACATCTCCAGCTCCATGTCCTCCACCCTGGTATCCCTGTTGTTGACAGGGAAGGCTTGAGAAGAGGCTGAAGCTTGCTTTCAGCCATGCTCTATGTGCTCTCAATTCCTGGCTGTGCAGGACAACTGCATTTCATGGAAGATCATTGCAGCTTTTCCATTCATACCAAGGGTGTAGAACTGCAGGTGGCCACATGCCCCTTCCCTACCCCAACCATCTGGAAATTGCTGTTACTGGCAGAAAAAGCTTTAAGCTAAAATATGCTAGAGTTTTTCTTGTTCCAGCACCACCCCTTTGCCTTGTTTACCTTCAGGGCCCCTTGGAAGTATCTCCAAAATGGAACTCTGCCTCAGGCTAAAAGAGATTCACCACCCCTGCTTCAGACTTGCCCCATCTACACAGAAAGACCAGAGTGGAGGGGACAGAGTTGCAGCACTTCCCTCCCTCATGCCACCATGCTCTCTTTAAAACACAGAGGAATGTTTCAAGGCAAACCCTCCTTCTAAAATAAGGATGTGTAGGGAGGTATAAAAGCTAAGTTACATGGTAACACTGGA